CACGAGATGACGGAAGAAAAGGGGAGCAGAGAGCGAGAACAAAGTTGGTGGTGGGGTCGATAGTTGGCCGAGTTGGCGAGAGAGCCGGTTGTGTAACAAAGGAACGAAGCAAGTAACAAGAATCCCAAGGTGCATTCGTCGATTTACTCCGGCTTCCTCGTACGAGCGGCGTTCCGCTGATAAATCAGCGAACGTCGTCCCTCAACTTGCAACTTCTACTTGCGCGTATGGTTCGTTTCTAATCTAAACCGATAATACCCGAGATCATGCGACGAGTTCCGACCATCTGCTCGCGTATATGTTATATCCTACCGGCTTTCGCAACCATTTTACGCGAAGAATATTGCAATTAGAACGGGTCAATTGATGTCATTCTCGATAACATGTTGTTCCATTCAATGAAATCATATCGTTTTGCTCGAATAATATTAATTTTTTCCATAAATTTGTATGTTTTTTTTAAATCGTATATATATATATATATATATGTATATGGATCATTATATTTGCCAATTAGTCGTGCTTTTCAATTAATATTATTGTTAATATTATTTTTAATTATTACATTATTTTTAATATTATTGTGTTAACTATTTTATTAACAATAAAATAATTATCGATTCGTAAATTATAAGAAACTAACGAATGCATTAAATGATTTTTACATTTGCAAGAATAATGGCCTATATAACACAAATATTTTTATTTTTTTTAATATGATGTCTGATTTTATTCTTAATCTAATTTATTATAATATAATTTATTATAATATATACATATTTATATTTTTTAACTTTTTGAATACAATTAAAGCTAATCGTATATTTATTTTAAAATTTCTTCGAATCGGCAATGATTAATTTCTATCCTATTTAGTTTAATTAGTTATTCTATCTACAATTACAATTTATACTTGTAATTCACCGTTTCGATGAGAATATACCACTTATATCTTCCAATTGTTTCTTGCACGCATCGAATCCACGTGACCATCTCGATTCTTAATATATTATAAACAAATCATAATTACTATAATTATCTGTTTCTCCTTTTTCGAAACATTGCCTTATTTAATTAATAAATCTATAAATTTACATCTACAATCAAACATGAAAAAGAAAAAGAGGAACTGTAATTTTTTTATGTATTGAAAAAAAGGATTGCATTAAATAAAATAAAATAAAATAAAATAATATTCTAAAGTGCGTAAATACATAAAAGTTGAAATACCGAGAACAAGACAGGAAGAAACAAAGCACGAAGGAAATATAGGAAAAAAAAATTGCAAACATCGGGAGAGGAAGAGGAAAAAGGGGCGAAGCCGAGCAAAGACTTACACGAGTTGTTGCTTACGTAAGTAATGTACGCAGATAAGAATGTGCTTATCTGAAGAACGCTAGCATGCGAGCTACCTCGAACGACAGAAAAGTATGCGCGTTAAATCGGAACGGTACACTGCGACGACACGACTTCTTTGAACTTTATTGGCTGTTTACAACAGCCAATCATTTCATACATTTTTCACGCTCATAAGTAATTTCTATTTATGACATCCATTAGTAATTCGATATATAATTCGTAAGAAAAAATAAACTTTTATTAACTCCTTAATCTAATCTATAATGTAACCTAACTTTTAAATTCTTTTTGCTAAATTTTCATTAAAATATTAATTTTTTCATCATTTATTGATTACAAACTCTTGTCAAATTCTTCTCACAGATTTATGCTCAGACAATACTAATATATCTCCACTACTAAGACTTGAACTCATAATCTCGACACAAGTAATTTCACACGAAACCAATACGTCATAAATTTTTTTTAAATGTTTCGACTCTCAATCCCTCTTTGTCTTTCATTAACTGTCATATTCTATCCTTCTTGTAAGCAAAGATAAAATAAGATTAGAATTTTATGTACGGAGTTTCATGTGAATTTGTAACACTTGTACATATATATATATAATAAATATTTATATTATATTTGTATACATGATATTATCAATGATGTATCAAGAAAATATAAAATTATGAATCCTTTGACTATGATAATTTTAGAAACAAGAAAAATTGGTTATTATAATGAATAAGTCGTTTTTTCATACAAATCATCACAAATAAAATTCTATCAATATAAATAGATATATCTATAAAAACTTCTTATTTATTAAATGTAGATTGTCCTTTTTTTTTTCATATTTACTTCATCATGATTTCATTAGAGACCTGTATTATTATTAAAGAATTGCGTTATGTAACGACATTGTGCACGACAATTTGTTCAACATCTACCAAATAAAGGTCGCGAATTCTCCATATCTCTCGCGCCAATTATTTCCATAACGTGATTAAAAGTGCCGACAAAAATTGCACAAACTCGGTCATTTGTCGAAAAATTTAGGTCACAGCTAACGTTTGTTTTCTCCCATTCGAATGAATGTTCAAGGTCTTCTAATTGTCACATTGAAATCCTCAATTTCTCGGAAATGTGTTAATATAAAAAAATTAAATTATCTCAAGAATTTTTTTCATTTTCTCAGTATTCGTTCCACAATGAAATAGATCATCATATTTACATACTTTCACGATATTTCTTATCATTTATAAAATTTTATATAGTTTATACGTGAATTCCTAATGTCAGAGTTTCATCTTTCCAATATTTTATATATAGTATTAAAAGAAATTGTTTATTTTTTCAAAATAATTTGCAAAATACAATTATTTTAAATATTATTTTAAGAATATAATATTATTTTTTATTTAAAGAACTATTTTAATAATATTTAAAGAATTATTTCTTTAAATAATCAATCATCTGATTATTCTTTTGATTAATTTTTTAATAATTTTGTTAAAATTATAAGATATAATTTATATTTTATATAATCAATTTAATTTTTTAATATTATTAATTGATTAACAAAAAAATATATATGTTTTTGAAAAATTAAATGTCTTAATATCACTGAAAAATCAAATTAAAAAATCAGTATTTCTTAAATCAAAAAAATTTTTAGAATAATTTAATTCAAACGAATATAACCAAGCTATATTGATAATTTATATATAGATAGATATAGATATAGATATATAGATATATAGATATAAAAAACGAATTAATATAAGAGTTTCGTTGACATAGGCCGCGATAGCCCCTCTTCCGTTTGCTACCACGAGGTAGGTCGATCCAATTGGGGTTCGAATAGCCTAACGTAGTGGCCTCCCCTTTGAGTTCCCGTTGCGATCAATACCCACGATGCCAAAGCCAACGCGGACTACCAACTTCTCATATAGGTCCCATCGTGAAGCATCACTATCCTTAGCTATATATCAAAAATAGTGTAATTAGATGGCTGTCAGTTTATTCTCTTGTCAATCATAATTCTCGTTTTAACATAAAATATATTAAAAATTTTCTTTCAAAACGCAAAATTATATTAGATTATTCTTTTTAAAAAAAAATCCATTAAATTAAATTATATTAAAATTATGTTATGTTATGTTATATTCTATATAAATTATATACATAATTATATACATAATATTATATACATAATATAAATTATATAGAATAATTTGAAAATTATGATACAATGGAAAAGTAGATAATTTATGGCATAAAAAATGAGTTAAAAATATAAAATAGAATTTTTTCATATGTATAATTCAAGAAAAAAAAAAAATTTGAAAATTCGTTAGATAAGTGTGCACTTATAATAATCGCGTTAAATGAAATATTCGATAAATTTTAAAATTTAATTTCTTAATCTCTAAAAATAGAAATTTATATGGAAGAATTTTATTTCATATTTTCGATTCAATTTTCGATCGAATTATTTCCTTGTCTTTTACAGTTATTCTATATATTTATTCTAATCAAATTCAGTTTTAAATTTTACAAGAATCAAGAAATAAATATCATTTGAATATTTACTTATAGGATAATATATATATTTATTTAACAATTTTGTCTAGTTGTATCTTTTCTTAACCCTTCAAATTCTAAATTATGTCGACATGATAGTTTATGCATATGAAGAGAAATTGAAGCTAAATATGGTATTTTTGAATTATAATTTTAGAATCAAAGAACTTCAAGAAAATAATATGTACAAGTTTTATCCATGTTTCAAGAATATATATTCAATTGGTGACATAATATATATTGTATTAAATATATAATATTGTATAATATATATTGTATTAAAATAGTATTAAAATAATAAAATTAAATCTACGATATGTTAAAAGAGATTTTGTACAATAATATTTGCGCGAATTTTTAGTTGCAGAAAAAAATATAGCCCACCATTGGTATAGCATTTCGTTTCCACTGACATATTCAATACTTTATCTAAATACACCTACATAATACATGCATGTTGCAGGAACATTTGTGAACGTACGTATGTGAATTTATACGTACAGCTGCGCGTTGCGTCACTCTCCGCAATTTCGGATACCCGCTTACCTACTCGTAATCGCAACAAGGAAGAGGAAGCACGAAACTCCATTCCCCTCGATGACCTTTCTCTTTCTGTCGATTATCATCGAGCGTGCGCATATGCGTCCGCGATCACGCAGTAACGCACGACACGCATATACTGTTCATTCTCCTTGAGAGTTGCACAACGCATCGCCTTCCCATTGTTTCAACCTCACACGGTATCGTTCATATCCATTGAATCTATGGAATCCATCTCAGTGCCTGATCAAAATATAAGATTATTGGAATCTTAACTCTTTCGAGAATCGTCCACAGCAAGTATATAATTTCCGATAGAATCTCTTTCATAATGCTTTTTATTTTACAAAATGTTTTACCATTTTAATTTTTTTAACATCAAAATATCATTTCATTATATAAATAAAAATTAACCTTTTACATTTATATAAGAAATTGATTGGGAAATAACATTGAAAAGAAAATTGAATTATTTATTATATTTATTTTAGTCATTACAATAACTTATGATTAACATTTTTTCAAACAAATTTAACATTATCGAAAAGTAGTACACTTCGGAAGCGATTGATTCAAATAAATTAATATATGGTAAAATTATATGGTAGAATGTAGAGAACTTTGGATGTACTAAATAGATAATGTGCAACCACTAGCTCATTTTGCAGAGTGCATAGAAAGGTGCGTGTGAGCAATAATCACGCATACAGTGTAGTATTCGTAAAAGAGCGCGTGTCCGTCGTGTTCCGCGCGACACACACGCGCTCACGAACAAAGAAAAAGCCCTAGCGACCAGCAATGCGGCAACGGTGAGCGCCTGCGCGCCACGCTATGTGAGTCAAGGACGACACGTGCGCTTGAAACGACCTACTTATATCGCCGTTGCTTCGTGCACGATCGGTTCGCAGCACGAACTTTCCCGAACGTAGAAATAGGACGACCAAGTTCCAATGTTCTGTCGAGCTACCACCCCCTCCTCTTTCCTATGCGCGCAAGCTTCGTTAATCGACTAACCGCTATTCGCATAGCACCGTTCTTTCGCGTTTAATCTTTGAATCGTAAAGATCGTTTCAGTTTCATTTTAATTTTTCTTCATTTTTTATTTTAACATATCGATCATACATTTCTTCAACTTTTTACAATTTTACGTGTTCATGGATATTGTGTGATCATCGTTTTTTCTATTCATTAAATGGTAAGTTAATATTTATCTTTGATCTTTTACGTTTCAAATGAAAAAATAAGAAAAAAACATTAGTATCGATATGAGAAATATTACGCATTATGTAATTTCAATTTACATTCAACAATTATTATAAATTTTCAAAATCTTCAAAATTAACAATCAATAGTTTTACATCGAATTTGAAAAGTTAAAGTATTCTATTCGATTAAAATAATGATTAAATCATGATTAGCCTACAATTGGAATATCTGGAGAAAAAATCTTAATTGTTGGAGGCCATTATGGTGCCCTATATGCGAAGCATATAAAGATCGATAAAAAAATGGGTCAAAGGTTTCAATAGTACTTTCAATGTAAATTAAAATAGCAAAATTTGATTATGTTTTGTCAGAATATTATCAGATGAAAAATGATACGGAAGAAAGACAAATTTGTGTCTATGCTAACATATTTATCATGGTTTGCGCATAGCAGCAAGAAGGGTTGGTTGAAATCTATCCCTATGTTCGTATTCAAGAAATATATACACACTACTACAATGATCTTTTGGACCTGTAACATGGAATCCAAAAGCGGTGGGTATGAAGGCTGTCTCGATTCGTCGGTTTTCTTCTCATCGACAGCATAAGTAGCGCGTTTCCGCGCGGCTTGTGGCCAGTTCCTGTTCGACCATCATACGATCGTAGCGAAGCGCGGGCGTGTGGAATCTTCCAATATATACCACACAAAGATATGTCGATGGTTCTACGTGTGCGCACAGCTCTCGCAAGTAGCAACCATATATACACGTGTGTATTGTATACATACATATATATATATATAATATATATATATATATGTATATTCATGTGTATGTGGTGTCCTCGCAGAATATCGTTTGTGTAAGATTGAGAGTGGCCTCGTGTGCTTCCTACGTATGTGTAATTGTGTGCCTCATGGATAGTGAACGCCGCGGGAATTCGTGGTGTGCAATCGACCAATGGCAGGCCAAGTAGCAACGGCTATGCACCAATCAGAGAACAGAAATGCTCGCGAATGCGCGCCACACTTACCACCGGATGCCGATCATACTTGGTAGTGGGGATAAACTGAGAGTGCGGCACAGGCTACGCGCTCGAGCGCATCCTCGTTCGTCGCTGCTCGCCGTCGGAGTCGGTCGTGTTCGGTACTTGAGTCCTCCTCTCCGACAATTTTCCGAAGTCTGAAGAAAGCTCTCTCGTCGTTTGCCAGAGGCTCGAACGCCATCGTGGTGATTACCACGTTCTCCATCGAACGATTGTTCCATCACTTTTACTTCTCATCGTTCAATTTGGATCAAACTGCGGTCTGTGCTACCTTATCACTCCTGGGGACGTTTAAAATACACGACCTTATCGTGATAAAAAAGAATTCGTGACGCATATCCGTTCGATTTTTATTGTGTCGTGGCGTGGTCCGTAAATTGCGTGCGTGGCGTGGTATCGAGACCGGACTTAATTGGAAGCGAGCACCAAATTCCAAATAATTGGCTGTGAAATCATACGTACTGCCTTGGATCATTCACTGTGCACCATTTTTTATCTTTTTATGATTTTCCTGTATAAGTGATCGCGATTTCTAAAGAGTAGTTATTGCGGAAATGTGCATTTACATCTAACAAGCGATTTTAATAAATCGAATCATTTGAAAATTGAATTAATCAGTCAGTTTATCATTTAATTTGTATTGTGTTTCTTTTCGCATAATAAATTACATTTTTATTTCCATAATTTATATTAAATATATATATAATTCATTGTAAAAAGAACATTGTTTCATTCAATAATGGCACATGTCAATCCATTTCGCATATAATTTTTTCGATTTATCGTGTGCAGTGAACTCCGATAAATGCCAGCGCGGCACATGGAAGTCTAGCAGATCTTTTTAAAATCAGTTATAATCGTGAAAGCGAAGAGAAAGAAAAATATGAAAATATGCAGGAAGATTCTATTAATTTGGTGAATAACGATCTGACGACTAAAGATCTACTCTTTGTGCACATAAAAAAAGGATTAAGCAGAAACGTTGTTCATACGTTGGCGGTGCTCGTGTCCGTGTTCCTCTGGCTATCAGTGGGTAAAGATGGCGGTCTCGTCGTTCGGTTGGTTCGTTGGTTGAGTAGTGAGAGGGGCAACTGTGACGCAACCTAACGTCACGTGATCAAACCGTGGCTCTGCTCTCGCTGGGCCAGTGTGTGATCTAACGTTTGTTACGGCAGTTGGTGGAAGATAACGTCTTGAAGAGTGCAGGATAGACAAGGAGTACTTTTTTCGACGTTGCTCTCGATGGCTCACTCGTTGCCCGACGCAACACCTTGATCTTTTTCTCGGTCGCTAGGTCAGTGGGGGTGAGAAACTGGCTTGGCTCTCTGTGCTACGATAGTCAGTCTTTTTCTCTCTCCTATCGGCTTTGCGACATCTCTCTCGACGTCAATCGAAGACAGTCTCACATTTACAAGAAGATAATACATTTCATATTTTTTTTTTGTATATTTCAAACGAATGATAATTCTATATATATATATATATATATATAGAATTGTTTATTGGTATTTATATGGGCTCAGCAGTGAAAACCGTGTTCCCCCAGCTGTAATCTTCTCTGTTAAAGAGGCTCTGGGATTACGGAAAACACTGCGCGAGTACTGACTATTCTTCAAGCGTATCATCTTTTTGTCTTTCCTAATCGTGAACAGCTTAACATATATAAATTATTTTTCCGTTCATTTAAAGCGTAAAGTGCAG